CCCCCAAATAAAATAAAATAAAATAGTGAACAAAGCTCATGTCTAAATGGTATGGAAAAATGTTAGGGGTACACCTAGACCTGGCAAAATATGACCCGGCCCGTTTTTTACCTGAAACCCGACCCGAAATTAGCGGGTTTTGAACACAATTTTTGTGACCCGAACCCGAAATAACCCGAACCCGAAGACCCGTTAAAATTTTGGGTCAGATCGGGTCGGGTCGGGTCTGACCCAACGGGTTAGGCATTCCAAGATTAAGAATTAAGATTTTACATTTTTCTTTATTATTCATACATATGCCTGAATACACAACCGGCCCTTAAACCTAATCTCCGCCAATTGTTGCAGTCAACCTCTCACGATTTCTCTGAATCTCAATCGGCCGACTCTCCCTCTCACACTTTCTCCATCGGCCAACTCTCCCTCTCCCATTTTCTCCGAGTTTTCCAATTTTTACTGTCATCCGTCAATCATCCTCCAACCTCCGGTGGCGTCGGCTCAATGGTGAGAAGAAATAAACACAGTAGTGGAATTCCTAATTTCAATTCATCATCTTCAGTTGGGTCTATAGGTAACTCATGTTTAACTCTCTCCTAAAATTTAAAATCTAAAATCTGTGTTTTCTATTTACAGAGTATTGTTTAATCTGTTTTTTTCCTTCTATTTACGGAGTATTGGTTTGTCCTGGACTCCTGGAGTATCATATATACTTCATTACTTCGCAAGTCCACATATTGCTGTTTGTTGGCAATTAGCATGCTGGGACATTTGGATCAGCTATATACTCATATGTTTTGACTCCACAATCTCTAACACATAAATGGTGATTGTGTTGTACCCCATTAAAATCGTGCTGGTTTCTTTCTAGGCTGGTTTCTACAATAAACAAAGGACATGTTTATTTAGAGAAGTTTGTAGTATTAATTGAACTCTAAATTATATAGCATTTTGATAAGTGTGCTTGGATGGTTCATTTGGGACATGATGATGTTTAGAATTTTTTGCTATAGTTACTTTTTTGTTGATGTTTTGAATGAATTTTTTCCTTTGTTTTGAAAAATGTATTGATCACTTCATCTCTAAGTGGAAAAGTTTCAATTTCTAAATACGTCTCCTAACCTGTTGGGTCAACCCGAATCCGATAGCTCTGGGTCATGAACAAGCATTCTTAGACCCGAACCCGAAGTGACCCAAACCCGAAATAACCCGAACCCGATAATACCGAACCCGAACCCGACCTGACCGACCGTTTTGCCAGGTCTAGGTACGTACACCTTTTGTCCCCCATTCCCTCCTTGTCCACATAATTGGGCAAGAAAATCAAAAAAAAATAAATAAATAAAAATTAATTAAAAATGGGTGGTGGAGAAGAGGATGGTGTACAAATGGGGTACACCAAGGTGTACCCCTAGCATTGCTCTTTTTTAATCCGAAAGTCAATATTAAAATGTTGGACTTTGATTTAAGATTTTGTTAACTAACTTGGAGGATAATTCAATTAGAAATGAATCCACTTGGATTGAACTTGAACGTGACTTGACCAATCTAATGGTCTCATTACTCTCATACTCTCATTAAGATCATCACCAGTTCCTTTGTCTCTTGTGTGACCTTAAACTAAGAGAGCAAAAATAACACTTTCAGTATCATTTTTTAATTACAAATTGGGAATTAGTACCTTAATAAAAAATAAAAATTACGTATTAAAAAATTACATCAAAAATTTTACATAATAAGATGTAGCAATAGTATTTTATTTTATCAAAAAATTAATAAAAACACAAATAAATAAAAATTATCAAAATATTGTAATCAAAATTAAGACAGAGAGAGTATATTATAAATGAAAGTGGAGAATTTGCACTTCAAAAGTAAGAGATAATCCCAAGGGTGGTGCTAGGGGTACCGCAACTAGTGTATCCCATTTGTACATCGAAGGATTCACAAACACACACAAACCTCAAATGTCTGTGAATGCATAGAACATTGAATGTCACTGAGTGTTTATAAATCTTTCGGGTGTACAAATGAAGTACACTACTTGAGGTACCCCTAGAATTTTCCTAATCCAAAGAAGACTTATTGCTTCGCCCATAGTTTAAAAAACTAGACCAAACCGGGAGCCAAACCTCTCCTGTCTAGCCACAAAGACCGCCATGTGCATCGAACCGGCATGTTTGACTGCGGACCTTTTTTTGGCACAAATGTCCCTAAAATTGTTACTAATGAGGGTTTCAAACACATGACCTACTTTCGGGTGTACAAATGAAGTACACTACTTGAGGTACCCCTAACATTTTCCTAATCCCAAAAAAGACTTATTGCTTCGCCCATAGTTTAAAAAACTAGACCAAACCGGGAGCCAAACCTCTCCTGTCTAGCCACAAAGACCGTCATGTGCATCGAACCGGCCTGTTTGACTGCGGACCTTTTTTGCCACAAATGTCCCTAAAATTGTTACTAATGAGGGTTTCAAACACATGACCTACTTTCTCTCTTGTTAGACTATCCACCACTATGCTACAATCCCTTTTGTTACATGAAGACATATATAGTTATATATTACATCATGAAAAATATACAATTATACATATTCTAAAATGACTTTTTTATTTTAAAAAATTTTGAAAATATAATGTTGAAACTGTGATTCTAACTCTAAAATATTGATGTAATTGATTCTAATATGAACTTCATATCACAAAACTATTAACTCATTTAAATATTTTAAAAAATATTGTGTAAATTATAAAACAAAAAATATCACCTCTTATTTTATAATTTTTTTATTTGTTTAAATACTCATTTATTTCAATTTAATGCTACTACTCAAATAATTAAATTCCTTATAAATTTAGTAATACATCATAAATTCTTTATTTATATTATTTTTCATGCACACACACACACATATAGAGAAGAAGGGAGGGAGTATTTAAAACAACATGAGAAACAAACTTATTAGGTACTCCCTTCGTCCTCATTCAATATTTGATATTTTATGCTCTCTAATATAATAATTTAATCATTAATATGATCAATATTTATACATACATACATTTTTAAAAAATAAATATTTCAAAATTAAAATTCAGAATGAAGCTCTTGATATTACATAGGTATCAGAATATAATTTATTTTCCTCGTATATTGCAAGCTTTACTATACATCCAGTTTTATTGGAACTTCTGGTACAATCAAATCAAAGTTGCGATCCCGTTGGTAGAGGAGCCACGATGCTGCTTATATTTGGGACCCTAGGTGCGACGACGAAAAGGAAGCCTTCCTGGAGACGGCCAAGCACAGAGGCAATGGGGCCTTCGACAGTTGATCGACGAAGGGCTGCTCTAGAAACCCTAGGTCGAGGAAGGAAAAGCCGACAATGACAATGATATAGATTAGATGCCATTGTCGTTGAGCAAACCACTGGCGGCAGTGACAGCGAAAGGAATACCATGTCGCTTCAGAATGAGCGTTACGATTTTTCAAATGAACGTTACGATTTTTCAAAATGAGTAAGCTAAGATTGAAATGAATATTACGTTTTTTCAAAATGAACGTAACACTATATTTTTCGTAAATGAATATTATAATTGTACTCCCTCCGTCTTATAATGATCTTCCCGGTTCGCAAAACGAAGAAAAATCCCAAGTTTTTTCAATCTATTTTATTTAAATATTGGTATAGAAATAAAAAATAAAACATACATATTTAAAAACTATATCAAAAGTTCAACAAAACAAGTGGTGACAAGAATATTTTATTTTATCATATAGGCCATGAAAAAACACAAATAAATATAAATTTCCTTTAATTCATAATAAATATTTATCGAATGTACCTAGTTCTAAATATGCAAGTAATTAAACAGTGCTTTGAGTCGTTGTTGACTTGCGGGGTTCGATCTCAACCGGTGGGGGGAATGCGATCAGTTTTTCTTCTTCTTCTTCTTCCATGGCTGAAGGGAGAGAACAAGGATGAAGATGATGAGGAGCAGGATTGCGATCCCGACGCAAGCCCACTTTCTCGTGTTCCTCTGCCGCTTCCGGGCGACCTGCAGATTCTGAGTTCCACCCCGAACGAAGCTGCTCGCCCTGTTCACGTGACTCTCTATGCCCTCCAGATCTGCCCCTTGCCTCTCCACCAGCACCGCCATGTCCACGAACACCTGATTCAGCTCATTCAAGCTCCTCTCCACCTCCTTCACCGCCGCGTGCCGCTCCTGGATCTCCGCCACCGCCTCCATCACCTCTCCCCTCCCCTGTTCCCCGATCGCCTTCTGCACGAAGGTCTCGCTCTGCCCCGTCGAGATCAGCGCGTCCACCACCGCCTCCTCCGCCCTCTCCCCCGTCACCGTGTAATACCTCCTCTCCACCGTCTCCCGGTGCTCCGCCGCCATCTTCTCCCGGAGCTCGCACTTGACCCGGTAGCTCAGGGCCTCGAAAAAGGAGTCGGGCAAGTGGTGGCTGCAGGACCAGGCCAGCCGGCTTGACGGGCCTGGCGTCGGGCCCTGCCAGGCCAACCGGCGCAACCTGGCCAGGTCGCGGAGGTCGGCCTGGAACTGCTCAAACCGGAACCAGTTGCGGGACCTTTGCAGCCGCAGGTAAAGGGGGGCGAGATCTTTCAACTTCCGAGCGTTATGGAGAGTCTTGCTGCGGTCGTGGGAGGTGCAGAGAAGGGAGCGGGTTTGATCGAGATCCCGGAGATCATTATCGATCACCTCCACGTCGGCGAAGAACTGGTCGAGATCCACTCCGCCGCCGGTGCCGGTCATCTCGACCGACTGATTGTCCCGTTGACGACGAGGGGAAGAACCCGAGAAGAGATCATTCATTGTTGTGCTTTATTTATCCAATAATGTCATGTTATTGTATCTATGAACAGATATTTTTTTTCCTCTTTTCTTAAATTACTCGTAAGACTCAAACTCAAGTTGTATCCACATTCACCTCTTTTGTTCAACCAGCTCAGCTAAAACGGTTGATAAATGTTTGCTGGGAGACTAGAGTTATGGGATCTCTAAAAAAAAAAAACTTTGGGGTGGGCCGAATAAAGACGCTTAGATTCCTTAGAAGTTAGACGGGAGCCGTCAACAGAAAAAGTCAACTAACGTTTACAGTTTACACCGAATTTATGAAAAAGAGGAAAAGCAATATGTCAAAAATATGACAAGAACATATGCCACGCGATTAATTTCAAAGTATGGGAGTAAACACTAAAAATCAAAATAATATATGCATACGTCGGATATCAGATATATACGTATTCGTTTCTAATTACTTTAATTTTCAAATTATCTGATGTGTGTATATTCATTGTGTAATTTGTTATGGGATAATTATTTTTTTACTTTTTATAATTTATAATATGACACCCTAATGTATATATGGCTGCTTTCTATGCTCTTTTACACCAAGTCTCTTCTCCCATCTACATTTAACGACCATACACTTTTCTTGAATATTGTCGTATTTTCCTCCTAATTTCCATTGAAGTTTACTGCTCCCTCCCACATATTAAGCTATATATTTATTAATTAACGAGATCAAATTCCATTGACTTTTTTTTCTTATTTTTGTTACTCATTCAATAAAATAGTATAATCATATAACCTCTTATTTTGTAGATATTTTGATGTAATTTTTTAATATATAAATTTTATTTCTTTAATTTGACTTCAATATTCAGATAAATTATATTAAAAATAATTTTAATTAAACATCGCAAAAAAGTTTATTTAAATTTGAACACAGGATAGCATTTAATATCCTGCTTCAATTGACACTCCAAATTTCTATAATGGCTATTGTTTTGTCATCTCAATCAAAATAGCATTTCTAGAACGAGATTGACTCATAGTTTTCAGAACCGAACCGGTGATCGAACCGGTCAAGGCACTAGTTCACTGGTTTACTGGTCGAACCAGTGGTTCAAACATTTTTAATAAATAAATTTATATATATCTGTGTGTGTATGCATGCATGTATGTATAGACACGTTGTGACATTGAATTAAAAAACTAATATATGAGTAAATAAAATAATATTTCCTCTATTTATAAATAAAGAATTTATGTTTTACTAAATTTATAATTTAACTTAATTTACTTGAGTTGTGTCATTAAATAAAAAATAAAATTTACTTATTTAAAAAAGCTTATAAATAAAAAGTGATTTGAATTTTTTTAAACATTTTACCTATTAATTTAAAAATATATATTAAATATTTGTGTGATATGCACTCCATATCAATTATATCAATGAGTTTTGAATTTTTGTAAAAAAAACTAAATATGTATATATATCTATAGTATTTGAGAGAGAAATTTAGTTTAAGAATATTATCAACGAAAAATAGAAAGTTACCATCTGGCTTTGTAATAGAGATGGATTCCAATTTCCAGCTGCCACTTTCATCCACACAACCGTGTTCAAATCCCAACAATGTGTTTTTTAAAAATCTTCAAAAAAAATTAAAAACCGGCGGTAAAATCGGCCGGTTTTAACCGGTTTTCGCCGGTTCACAGCGGGATGCGGTCTTATTGTCCGGACTGGACCAGTTTGGTGTCCCGTTCACCGGTTCCTGGTCTGAACCGGCCGGTCCGGTCCGGTTTTTAAAACTATGGATTGACTACACAAAGACGTATTGGGCATTTAAATTGGAATTAATTCCCGGACAGTGTCAGAATCAATAAAGTGTTCCGGATCAGTGCTGTCAGTAAAAATTCACTAGACTCGTACCTGTGCGTTGCACGGCCTAAATATAAACTATATACTTAGGGAAAGCATTGATGAAAGAAAATGATAAAATTAAATTATAATAATAATATATAATCAAATATTAAAAAATTATGAACAATATACATGTTCACAATGAAAGATTAATTCAATCGAATCTCCTCCTCTTGTCCAAGCCAGAATAAAGTAGACACGAACGGCTCGTAACATAAGTATCCAAGTAGTTCGACATACTCTTTGAATGTTTTGAGACATTTTTTGAAAATGGACCGAATTGGGATGAAACGTATGAAATGTTTGAAGTATAAGTAGTATATACTATTGGACAATCAATCTACCCATTAAATGTCTTAATTTAGTAAATCTACTTATTTAATACTCCGTATGATTTAACATAAAGTATGCATCAAGCCACGTACCCATTTTACTACGCACGCAGTTCCATAGAAAAACACTACCCATTTATTTATCTTAATTTGACATAAAGTTTGCATTTAGCCACACACTAACATTAGTACGCACGCGGTTTTATATTAATACACTACTCATTTATTTATTTTGATTTGACATAAAGTTTACATGGAGTCACGCATCAACTTTACTACGCATGCGGTTCAATAGCAATACAATACCCGATCATTTATTTATTTTGATTTGACATAAAGTTTGCATCGAGTCATGCATCAAAGTTATTACGCACGCAGTTTCATATCAATACATTACCCATTTATTTGTTTTGATTTGATATAATGTTTACATTGAGTCACGCACCAATTTTACTACACACGTGGTTCCATAGCAATACACTATCTATTTATTTATTTTGATTTGATATAAAGTTTGCATTGATCCACGCACCAACATTACTATGCACGTGGTTCCATATCAATACATACTCATTTATTTATTTTGATTTGACATAAAATTTGCATCGAGTCACGTACCAACTTTACTACGTACGCGATTCTATAACAATAAACTATTCATTTATTTATTTTGATTTGACATAAAATTTATATCGAGCCACACACATACATTACTATGCACGCGGCTCTATATCTTAGCTTTGTGTATAGTTAGAACTATTTATTAAATTGATTTGTCTTAAAGCATGTCACTTTCCTCCATAAAATATCATTACTTTACTTTATGGAGTAACGTACCACATCATGGAGCAAAGCACCACCGATTAGACAACTCAAATAAAGTTGATTTGACAACACTCAAAGAGGCCTAGGAAATAGCTGTCAAAGGAGGCCCAATCTGGCCCAGCAAAGATAGGCCCGAATCCAGCCCAAAAAAGCCTTGTGAAATAGGCAGGTACACTGTTCACATATGCATATTAGCATTGTATATAGGAGGATTGACAAATCTATTTATTTAATTGGATTTGATATAAAGCTTCCCTTGAGCAACACAATATCTTTTACTTTATTGAATAGGTAGCTATACATTTCCCTTGAGCAACAAACAAAATTTCCCTTGAATAATGCACCAAATTTTTCCTTGAACGCACCAGAAGCTTATAATGGCACGCATTTCAAAAAAAATTGAAAATCTACCCTCTTAATTGGCACGCTTAAAATATGTGTTGCTATAGTAAATACTCAAGCAAAAGAAGATTTGTAGAATCTAGTAAATAAATATTGATGGGACATAAATAACTACTTTTATGGTTGGAAAAGAAGATTTGGTAAGTCCTTCAGTAAAGCTAATTTCAAATAAAGGAAAGTACTTTCTTGATTGGAACACGAAAATATGCTCAATAAAGGTACCTACACACTTAGCCAAATTTCAGCCCAATAATATCAACCCATTTTGTAGTGACCCGACCCATTAATTTGGGGGGGGGGGGGGAGAATTTATTTTAACTCCTACCTTGGTATATATAATGACTAATTAAGAGAGCTATACATCACAGAATATAATATGCTTATAAAAGAAAAGGAGAAATACAAAGTATTACCCAAGCAATATTATCAAGGATAAAAATTCCGGTGAAAATCTAATAATACTCTAAAAGAGACTATTCCAAATGAGTACCGAAACCGTTTTTTTAATATTCCAGTGAAAATCTAATATTACCAAATGAATACTGAAACCATTTTTTTACACATTATTTTGCACATTAATATCATTTTTTACAAATGAAAACTTAGATGACACAATAATTAGTTGTTGAGAGAATAGGAGCAAAATTTGGTGAATGATAAGCAACACATGAACAATAATGTGCAAAAGGGAGTAGTATATCAAAAAAATGTGGAATTTAATGATATACAATGTAACATTTCTAAGATCATTAACAACTCTAGAAGCGGTAGAAATCAAAACTGCAATGAATTTTGTGTATTCATTCTTACAATGTTTAGCAAACTCAGCCACATCCCTATATTACTTTTCCATAATCCTGTTAACACCAATAATTGGTTGAATGCAATATAATACCTCTCCTTTAAAATGAGTAGGTTTCTATGTAGGCACTCCTCTTTTAGCATTATAATTATATGCAGTTCATGTTTCTATTGGAAGAGCTCTCCAAACATTAAAAATTATAGTCTTACAAACAGTTTGGGCTATAAAGAGTTTATTGAGAAGAACATTAGGTTGTTTTTCTAAATAAAAGAAGATATATGAAAGTCACCCAAGATTGCTCTTAATCATCCAAAAAGAAGATAAATGGTGACTCCAGCATGGCTGCCAAAAAGTTTAAGACATAATGAGTAATAAAGTTGCCAAAAAAACATGATTTTTAAAAAAAAAGTAAATTCAGGTTAATGAATCACACCAGAACTTAAAATTAAAAAAAGTAAATCTTCATTTCTACAGGTTAATGACAAAAACAAAATCAATATTTGTAAAGGTATCAATAATCTATCCCGCCCATCTAATTATTATAACCTAACAACCATATAATTATGCTCTCCAAAAACGATGTGCTACAATGCAACTTATTTAAATGTTCAATAAATTTAAAGGAATCCCTCACACATATAAACATAAAACTAAAAGGTCAAAGAACTTACAGAGCATTTGCATTGATGGGGTTATGGTCAAGACCCCTGAACAAATTCAACACCTAGATTAAAAAACAATAATCACTTATAACTATGGAGTTTGAGAGTTGAGCGTCACAGTTAATCCTGTTAACTAACATATACAATTTACTAATGATACTTTGTTAGAATATAAATAACTGTTCCTGGGCCACAACCACAAGCTTGAGCTTTTGGTTGAGATGGTTCCTTGACATGGTATCAGAGCCTCGTTGACTAAGAGGTTACGGGTTCGAAACTCACCGCCATCCAGTTTAAAAAAAAAAATTAAGGTTTCACGTGCAAGGCTTGAAAAAGACTATGGCTGCACGTGAGGAGGCGTGTTAGAATATAAATAACTGTTCCTGGGCCACAACCACAAGCTTGAGCTTTTGGTTGAGATGGTTCCTTGATATACTTTAATGAAAGAAAAAACAAAGAATTTTTTTTACCTTTGATAGGATAAAATCTCAAATAAAGCCACCTTTATGGATGGAAGCTAGGAAATCTGAATCAATAAAGGATATGTTCAATGACAGCAAGTTTATATGTCATCTTCATTAGCTCTAAGTATTAAAAAAAGAAGAAAATAACATTTGGTGAAACCTTTACGGGGGTGTGCTTTCTCTAAAGTAGAGCAAATCAAAAAATTGAATTCAAGAAAAAAAAGTTGCAGCAACAAAAGAACTTTCCGTTCGAAGGTCTGTCGTCCATGGCTGCCAAAAATAATCTAGGTCGAAACCCTACCTGCTTTGCCATTCTTTTGGATGGAAAATCAAACTGAAATTCTAATTGAAGATGCGTACATACTTGGCCTTTCCTTGGCTTCATCCTAGCAAGATCTGATCGTTGGAGAGGTGCAACGTTCAAAACCTAGCCCCATATGTGGTTTCCGGCAAGAAGAAGGAGAGCTCTGTTCCTGTGTTCCTTTTTTACGGATTGAGCGGAAATAGAAAGGAGACCCGCTATTAGCTTTTCCCATCTGCGCTCTCAATTCGAAGAGGAGAGCAGCGGCCACGGCTGTTGAAGCAGCGGATATTTGAGAGGATGAAAAAAAGGTATGGATAGAAGTCATAGAACCCTAAACAAAATAAAAGCAGCCAGCGTTCGCCTCATTTTCCAGCCTCACCACCTGGCAGGCCCATTTGTCAATGACCAGGCCCTTTACTGTAGCGGTAAAATGGGCGGGATCACTGATCACAATGCCCTCTTAGCATTGTATATAGTAAGATACTCAAACGGTAGATGCTATACCTTTTAGTCAGTTAAAAAAATTATTATTTAATACGAAATGGTAGGCCATCTACCATTTCATCCTTTTAAAAAAATTATTTAATATAAAACGGTAGACCATCTACCGTTTCATTCTTTCAAAAAAAAAATTACCTTAAATAGATCTAAAGCATAAAAAATACGGAGTAGTAAAATAGGAGTTCTATATTTTTACTCCCTTAATAAGAGTTTGCAATGTGTTAATGTGGCACTGTACATATCCATTTTACGTAATGTACATGGTCATGATTGGTAATGTGAATACATTTTAACTTCTATTTCGAGAATAAAAACATATCATTCCTATTTTGGAATATTTTCAATGTTTTACTCCCACTTTAGTCTTTTTTCTAAAAACATATTTAATATGAAACGAAACTTTAAATAGATCTATACCATAGGATTAACCTAACTCAATAAATCTTATATCATTCCGTCCAATTAACACCTAAAAAATTCTACACCACACAATCAACCTAACTCAATACATGCATCTACCTAATAAAATATCTCACCTAACATAATAAATTTATCAAACAAAAATGTATTACCTAACATTATAAACAATCTTGAACCTATTTTATATTATCTACTATATATTTGGGATTTTACTCTCACACTCTTACAACCTAAAAAATATATTTTTTAAATATCTATTCACTACTTTTCTTTACATTCCCAAAATATGGCATTGGATGATAATTTTATCCTTCTAGCCTATTGTAATGGTGAGCTAAAAATTCAAACAATGAAGTAGAGTACTCATTGCATTCAAACAAAGCTTTTGTGTTTGATCTTGATATCTCGTTCGATGAGGTCTTCAATGAACTTCTCGATACCATTGCCGATGATAATCTCAATTCAATCAAGAAAAATTTGGGATAATATCCCAAATACAAGGATGGAGTGTATACCGCATAACGTCCTTTTCCAATTTTCGACAAGCGAACATAGAGGTATTTCATCGTAAAGGGAACCAAGTAATACGATGAACTTAAAGTATACCTAGAGGCACTACATGTTGATCATCAGGTTCGCAGAAAAGAAAAATAGCGACATCACAAGAGGAGGAAATGGAGGAAGAACAACAACAATACCACCATTACCACCAACAACATCATGAAGAACAACAACAATGGAGAGCAAATCAATTTTCGTGTGATGAGGCGGGGCCGTCTAACACGGCACACGAAGTGGAGGATATAAGCGACCCCGACGATCCTACGTTCGTTTTCAATTATGATGATGAGAGTTCTTCAGAAGAGTCTGAAGTATCTGGATGGGTCTCTATGTACTCGCCATATATATACACAGAGGAGCCAACAAACATTCTAATTACACCGATGATGAACCGCTCTATCAGGATTTTCATGTTCACATGCCGCTTGAACAAGTTTCTCTACAGTCGACGTTCTGTATCCTTGATATTCAAATCAGCTACACATATGATGATCTTAAAAGTTTTTAAATTTACCGTGTCACTTCGCAATATTGTAGAGCATAGACACTATCACACTTCTTCAAAGCGTCGGAGTTACTGGCTTGCCAAGTGCTCATAACCGGACCGGTCAAACAATAAGAAATCAATATTTATGTCGACATGACTACTCCAAAGAAAAGGATGATAAGCTTACTACAAGCGATCTCATTTCTGGAATTATATTCTCCAAAATTGTGGCAGATGTTGATTATAAGGTGAGGTATATCATTAAAGGTGTGTATGACTTATTTCAAGTATGAGTAACATACAAGAAATGTTGGTTGGCTAAGTCAACATCAATTCAATGGTTGTATGGATCATGGGAGGATTCATATAAAAAAAATATTGTTTGTACTAGCAGCGTTGATGTAAGGTAATCCCGGATCAATGGTAGAGATACAAATGTGGCATACAACTTTACCCAAAATGTTTCAATTCATGTACATTTTTGTCTTTCAAGGCATTCATTGACGGGTTCAAATTTTGTTTTCCCTTTGTGTATGTCGATGGCACCCTTTTATACGAGAAATATAAGGGAGTCTAGTTACAAGCAGTATCGGCAAATCACGGGATTTTCCTGTTGGCTTATTCGCTTGTTGACAAAGAAGATGGGGATAGTTAGAGTTGGTTCATGATGCATTTAATGCATCATACAGTACCCGTTAACATGCCAGTGTGCATCATTTCTGACAGACATGGAGGGATTGGTGTTGCTTTCAATACAATCCACCAATTAAAAAAACAACGTGTCACCTGGACATATTGTTTGAGTCACTTTAGAAGTAATTTCCAGAAGAAGTTCAATAGCAAGATACTGAAGTGATTGATGTATCATGCAGCCACTTCCCCGGGTGTATATGAGTTTAATTCAACAATGCAAAAAATTCACACAGAGTGGGTGGAGGCATATGATTGGTTGATGACTTTACAATAGAGAAGTGGGCACTTTGTTGCAATGGTGGGGCTCGGTATGAAATCTTGACTATAGATCTTTCTAAAAGCTTCAATCTTGTGCTAAAAGGATGTCGGTCTCTTCCGGTATACGCTATCGTGAAGACAACCTATGAAAGATTAGTCAAATTATTTGCAGACACGCGGATAGACGGAGGTGAGATGCATGGAAGACAATCGTTTGCATTGCCATGTTATCCCTCATTATCCGCAACTAGGGATTTATCGAGTTGTTAAGGGCAATGTTGGAGCTGCTGGTAGAGCAGATGAAATAATGGTACATTTGGGCCAAAAATGTGTTGTTGCGAGAAATGGGCCACATTGCACATGTCATGTGTCCACGTCTATGTCGTGTGTCGTTATTGCAATATCAGGGTTGATGATCTCATTGCATCAATATTCTCATTTCAGAGCTATGTGAATGCATATTGCAGAAATATTATGCCGCTCTTGAAATAAATGGAATGACCTAATCTTGATTACGAGTTAGTGCAACCAAATACGCGGCAAAGGTCTCAGGTCGGCCATGTAGTAACCACCCGTTTCACTAATAACATGGATATGTGACCGCGAATGCGGCGTGGTGGTACTTAGTTGATTTAAAAATTTCTATGTGATATTTTTAAATAAGTACAACTTAGTACGTGTTATTTGTACTTTTTAATTTTCATATTAGCGGGTTTGACGGTTTTTTAATATTTAGTAATTTGTTTAATTTCTACTTTTCCCTTTAATTGAATGTTTTTGTGTTTTTTACCTATCTAATAAATCCCAAATAAGAGTCCACACCATGCACCATTAGATCTACCGAACAGTCTAACACAATAAAACAACCCAACAAAAATCCTACATCATTCAATCAACCTAAAGATCTATATACCATACAATCAACCTAACATACTCCCTCCATCCTATAATGATCTTCCCGGTTCGCAAAAGGAAGAAAAATCCCAAGTTTTTTCAATCTATTTTATTTAAATATTGGTATAGAAATAAAAAATAAAACATACATATTTAAAAACTACATCAAAAGTTCAACAAAACAAGTGGTGACAAGAATATTTTATTTTATCATATAGGCCATGAAAAAACACAAATAAATATAAATTCTCATGAAATTGGAATAGTGCTCTGGGAAGATCATTATAGGACGGAGGGAGTAATAAATTGTACTTTTTATTTCTGTATTAACGTTTTTGACGGTTTCATAATTCTATTTTATACCGATCTATATATGTACGTGGATTTAAATTTACTAAATCTTGTTTCTAAAAAATCTATTTAGAATTTTTTTAAAACAACAAAAAAACAAACAATTAATAATTCTTTTTAAACTACAAAAATAAAATTAGTCAAGTAAATGTTAAACATCATTGGACATTGCTCAAACTAAATGTCCATTATCACTTGACATTATTTTCACCACTAGACATTATTCAAGTATTATTTAGAAAATAAAAAAATTTAAGTACTATATTAGAAAATGACATATTTTAATACTAATTAATACAAATTTCACTTTTCAAAACCTTCCCAATCCAGAATTGACCTTTAAATTGACCTTCAAAACCTTTAAATTGCTTGTTGTCAACCATATGAAGTCCCCTCATAATTTTAAGGATGAAAAGGTATTACTTCCCTTTCCCAATTTATTCTGTGCATTTAGAAAAACATGCAAAATCTCATTTCTTCTTTAAAAAATTATTTATAAATTGGTATATAAATAAAAAATACAAATTACGTGATTTAAAACTACATCAAAAATTTTACAAAATAAGAAGCGACAAAAATATTTTATTTTATAAAATGTGTTAGTTCCATGGTGTTGGCTAATCTTTTGGCAAAATAGAATCTCATATTTGTTAGGTATTTTACTAGGTAGAAACCTCTATTTGTTAAGAGAGGTTTATTTTATTTAGACTTCTAGAGTTGCTGCAATTTCCAAAGTTGACACAGAAGATGCTACGGCACGATGCTGCAACACATTGTTCGGGATCAGAGGTCTGAGCACGGGATTTTAAGCTGCAATCTGAATTAGAGACCTATTGGGATTGTGATTACATGATAATAACTTCAGCGGTGCATGCTAAGGAATCCCAACTCTTTAGGCTACTTGTGGATCAAGATTAAGGAAATATAGTTCAAGCCAACTTCTACTATCCTATTCCTACTAGGATTGGGTTTTGTTTGGCCTATAAAAACGCAGCAGGTCCCTGGGAATTAGGTGGAGCGATCGAGAGGGAAAAATAAGAATATACACTGATGTAGAGCGTTCCCGTCGCGTCCCGGAGCTTCCCATGCGTGAAGAAGGTTACGATCTACATGAAGGAGGAAATCTTCAACGCCAAACAGATCGTGATGTCATGGAGATGAACCAAAGCTTAAGGAGAGGGCTGCCAACACGTTTGTCCTCGTGATCTCGGTGGAGATGTGATAGCCGAAGCGGATCTGAACAAAGTTCGGGTTAGAAATCCTAGATTAGAAGTTTTGTCATA